AGCTGGAGGAAGCTGTGCTTTTCAGAGTGTCTGGTGGTGGAAGAGGCTAAAAATCGCTTCACTTTTTGTCTTCAATAAATTGGAAGACAAAACCTTTACATAATAAAGCAACATCCTCAAATAGCAAGTGGATTCATTTTAATTTTTTTTTTTTTACATTTCTGTAAACACTAGCACTAAAAGAATAAATCAAATCAAATCAAAAATATCACTGGCACCTAATCCAACTAGAATTAGCTAGCCTCCAGCTGTAGCTATCACCAGTATGGAGGCATAAAAAAGATTCATTCAGGATATCACAGCGTTTTTTAATTACAGTAGCATCTTTACAAACAGAACAAAGAAGAGTGTGGTACGTCCTTGAACAAAGTAGGAGAAAGACTGAAGAAAGCAACAGAGAAAACAAACTGCACCTTTGTTGACGTCTTCCTGAGTGAAGCTCTGAGCAGGACCCTTGACAGAGACCTTCTCTACGTGTCCGCTCTTGCTAAGCTGGAGTTTGCCGGCTGGCAGGTCTCTGGTCAGGACATACCTGAGCTTCAGGTCGTCTGAGTCAATGTCTGTACCCTTCAGGTTCTGCTCTGTGATCTTTGACAAAGATCCTGAAATAATTCAGAGCAAACAGTGTCTATCTCCTCAGAAATGCCTGTGCACACCCACATCCTACTAACAATGTTAGTTGTTATTTAGATATTTTGTTGTTTTGCATGAGATATTTTCCTTCATACATCTACCAGTAACGGAAGGTTGGCTGTCAGTGAAACCAAACACAAATACATGCTTCTCTGCGTTCATTCAGACCAACCCTCTTGTGAATCTCACCTGCTGGGAGCTGCAGGCCTCTGTTAACAGTCATTCGGGGTCCTTCGTTCTTCCGTACGTCCATGGTGAACTCCAGACGGCCTGTGCGTGTATAGACTCCGTTGGTGAGGGAGAAGCCTATTTCATCTGCGCCCCCGCTGACGGTCTCAGGTGTGTAGACCAGCAGCCGGTCCAGGACGTCCTGGTAGGTGAAGGCAGAGCCCTGTGTGAGCACACGGCCGTTCTCCAGCGGCTGAGAGTAGAACTGCCGTCTGCGAAGTTTGCCTGTGGGAGATAAAAGATCAATGATCCTCTGACGTTGAAGTGGGTGTAGGTGTGTAAATGTGTGTGCATGCTGGTGGTAGCTGAGCACGCCAAGCTGCAGTTATGTTTTAAGTATCACGATTATCACAGTCAATGGAGGACGGCTGACATCTTCATGGAGCACATGAAAGACCAGAAAGGTCTTTGTAGAAACTAATGAGACTGACTAGATTCCACTAAATTACACAGCTTCAGTTTAAATGGGATTTGAGCCTAGGTTCTGGAGGATGACATAAATTAGCATTACTTGTACAGCTTCGTTTCAAACGTTTAAATACTAGTGCCAATACTAGAGTGTTATAAATACTACCCAGTGTGGACACAAGCAAAAACTGTGGTGAAGTAAAAGAGAATTTAACACTGGAAAAATTAGGGTTTAAATGAACCGTTAAAAAAATAAGCGAACAAGTATATAACGTTAGCTTTAGGTGTAATTTGGAGTCATTTTTCGATACATTGCTTGGTTCCTAGAAAGAACCAAGGTTCTCCACAGAAACTTCTGATCCTTTAGATCTGGTTATTAATAAACTTTTACCAAGATTTGTGATGATCTGGACATTTACTTACTTATCATGTCTTGTTACTTATTGGCTGACATATATACTGATATTAATATTGTATGAATGTAATCAGTGATTTTTTTTTTTTCAAACATACACTGTACTATACTGTGACTTCAAATTATGATCACAAACATACACAAAAGTGTATTTAATGTATGCTGCACTTTGAATATTATCATGCCACTGGACCATAAGTAAGGCTTAGGAGGTCCCTTCTCCATACACTAGGAGGTTCAGTAGGTCATCATCGTGCCACAGACCTCCGGTGGTTACAATGATAAACATGGAGCGTACATGCAAAAACTAGGTGGTTAGTTTTAGGTATTACTACCACGTGGTTAGGTTGAGGAAAAGATCGTGGCCTGGGTTTAACTGCTCACCAGCTGCTCTTGTAGTTTCTACCATCGTGGCCTGGGTTTAACTGCTCACCACTGAAAAACACAATGTGTCACACTGGAATCAAACACCAGTCTGATGTTTATGAGGTGCTAGTGACGCGTCCTCAACCATATTTATGAGTGTGATAATAGCCACTGGATGGTGTGACAAAACTCGAATCAGTGTCCTGCTCTTGTAGTTTCTACTACTCTAGTTATTCTACTAGTATAATAGTTCATTAGTAATTTATTGAGAATGAACAGCAGGGCTAATTCTAGCTTGATTGATTAATTTGTTTGTAAACTTACAGGCGTGTTGCTACAGAACAAGTTTGACAGCATGAGGAAACTGTATGTGTGTTTGTGTTTGCTGGAGTGTTGCAATACCCTGACACCTTTATTATGTTAGACAGGGTCTGTCCTCCTGCCTCTGATAAATCTGTGCAGGCTTGTGTGTGTGTGAGATGTGAGGACAGTGGAGACTCATTGTCTGGTATGAAATCACTCCTCTCCCAATCTCAATCCCATCAGCCGTACACACTGGTGGTTTTATGGTGGTGGTACACTCGGTTTCACTGGCTGCTTTATGGTGCTTCTACTGGTGGGTGGGTGGGGGATCTGTTATGAGAAATGTCCCAGAGCAGGTGTCTGGCAGAGGGGTGGGCAGATTAAAAAGGTGCAAGAGTTCAAAATTACACCCAGCGTGTCCCAAATGGACACATTTTGTGGGATAATCCATGAGGGACATCTGCTAAACTGGATTTCTGAGACCAAAAACTGCTGTGAACAAGTGTAATCATGTTCAGACTGATGGTGTTTTGAGCTGAATTTCCTTGTCATTGTCATTAGGTGATAACTTCTTTATTCTGTTTTGACTTTATGTGGCACCTCCCTTCTGTTCATTCATAAACAAGTACTCAGATGTCTATTTCCTAGCAATTTCTTCATATTACTGTGCAGTTAATGGTTAATGGTAGATTAAAGGCAAAACAGCATAATAATTAAAATTCATGCAACATAAACAAACAAACATGCACTCACATTGTAAAATGTTTGTCTCTTCACTGAGACAGGTTAAGAAAGGGCTGTCCAGTAAAAAAGACATTTTTTTGTGAAGCAGTTTCTTTTAACCTACCGGGATTTGGCAGCCATGAGAGACAACTCAATCTGAGATGGAAGTCAGCTGATCTGAGTGTGTTGCCGTGTTGTGTGAGGCGAGTATGTGAGGAATGGGTGCAGTGAGTGTGCGACAACTGGTGTGGACAACTGGTGTGTTTGTCTTCTTTTAAACTGATTGGGTGTCGGAAGTGAGAGTAATGTGTTTACAAGAAAGCGCATGTGTGTGTGTGTTCATCTCTATCACCTTCAGAACAATTTACTATCAACATGCTGGATACTCCTCAGCATAACTCTCTGCTGCACTGTTTATTACTGTGTGCTGTGTGTACAAGAGCTACATGATAGAACACTGTATGTGTGTACGAATGCTAGTACATTGACTGCACATGGGTTTGTATAAAGTGCTGACCTGCACTGAACACCGTTTCTGTATGCATGTTGTGTACATGTACATAAGAATCTGCTTTTGCCATAATTACTTCTTAAAGATAATCTAAATGTCTTTTCAGCCTAGAGGGTCTAGTGAGACTTAAACTTAAAGATATCAACAGGAGGCTGTAGGCAGCAGAGGGTCATGGGGGGGTGTGTAGCTGAGAGACACCACGTCCTGTCCCACTGTCACTGGGGTTATCAGACAAGGTGGAAAGCCCCTTCAGCCTGTCGCTGTAATATCGGTGTGTTCAAGTGCCACTTTTTCAGTCCAACTGGCCCAGACAAAGGGGATGAGAGGTGAAGCAACAGTCAGCCTATGTCACTGCTAGTTCTGTTACTTCACAGCAACTTGGTCTGGCACTACAGCTATAGTGTCTTTTGTTTCAGGACATTTATCAGTATAACAGAGGCATGACTTATTGCCCAGTTATTACATTAAACTGCAGTAGTTGCCAGCTAAGGGAAAGCCTACATTAACAGTCGTCTGTGCTCACCGTATGAAGGCATTCTGATGATGGTGAAGAGTATCTCGTTCTCTGGCGTGAACCGATCGTGGACACTGAGGGACGAGTTGGTGATGACGACTCCAGAGTTTTCCTCCACATGGATGCTGCTGACTGACACCACCGGCTCTATCTCCTCTCTGCTCTGCTGTACCAGGAAATATACAGGTAAGCCACTTTATATGGTAATAACATACTCCCAGATTCATGAAATCACAGAGATGTTTTTACTGATAATTTACACTATATGACAAAACTACATTGTTGTTCACCGAGAGATCTAACACAAGGGAGAGATGGTTTTTGTTCTGTGACAAACAAAGATGACTACCTGCATTAAGTCTGCATACAAAATCATTCTCTATGCTTTCATCCTTTAGTACTGCCGAGAACACACGCCAACACATAATTAATGCAAACTTACCAGCTCACTGACAGACTTGCCGATTCAACTGAAGACTTAAAACTGGCTAAAATGACAGATTAGTCTGCTGAATTTATGTTGGCAGAGAACAACAGGACTCTCTTAGAGTCACTTGTAGATCAAGGATGATGGTTTAAAAGAGCTTCTGTGTGGGACAGTCTATGACAAAATTACTGGTGGAGCATTTGGTTGTGAAGTCGTCCTTCATCTCTTTGCATGAGCACCATCCCAACTAAAGTTAAACAGCTCAGACTTTCACTGAAGGCATTTTGGTCCCCAAGGTGAAAAGCTTACATGAAAATAACTTAAAAATGATAGAAGTAGGATGGTGTTGCCAGGTGACACATAAATCTACCACAAACAACAAATCTGGATATTTACTATGTGTTAATTGCAGCCACACACTACACTATGATTTGTGACGTGGTTCCAAAAACGTTTTCAGAAGCTGGGGTCCCCGGAAACCAGTTACCTGGATGTCAATTTCAATATTGAACGCCTCCGTCTGGCTTTGTCCATCACTGATGTAGAAACTGAAGACATCCTGTTTGGCCTGAGCTTTATGCTCCTTGTCCTGAACGTAGAAAATGTAGTCCAGTGTCAGGTCCTCCACAGAGAAAGGAACATCAGGTGTTACGACCCCGAAGGTGCCGACCGGGCCTCCTGTTGAATGGGAGGATACAGAGACAGTTAATAGCAATCAGAAAAAACAATGACTGACATACAGCATGAGCAGAAGCATCTTGTTAATCCTGCACTGCATTCAAATTCAAATGCGTAAACCAATCCCTGTATGTGTACATAGGTCACTTTTTAGCTGTAAAATTATACATCTATTTCTTCAGGCTCAACTTCACACTGCAACATTTACCGTTCTGTAGCACAGAACCCGTGTGTCCCTCAGCCAACCAGCCATCAGGCCGCGGCTTATAACATCTGACAGCTCAATGACAGCAAAACCTGTCTTTGCTCCACCGTCAGAATTGTCTGGCAGTGTGCGCACAGGACCGATGAACCAGGAGACAGTTACATTTCCATATAATTCTCTACCAAAGCCCACTTGGGCTGTAATGACTTGCACTGGGACTCATGTCATCAAAGTAGAGTGGCAGTGAATGTCTCTGAAATCTCTGAAGCTGGAGATGAAGTGTGAGCGTCGTCGTCACAGGAGATGGATGACTCCACAGTGACCTGAGCCAGGGCTCCGCAGGAAAAGCTGTTATGTATATTTGTGTCTGTGTTTCAGACAAAAGTAAATCACATCTCCATCATCTGACTGTTAGAAGGTGAGGGAAGGGATTCTCTTATCTGAGCAGGGACACTCACAGAATCGTAATCAGGGTGGGAAATCACCTGCAGCCAGCAGTGAAATGCTACAAATTTTTTGGCAGCGTCATTTGCCACTTCCTCTGTTCTCAGTCCTGGTATCTGCGGATTTCAGACCAGCAACACTACTGACATCTACCTCTGACTGAAAAGCCTAATGAAAATTCTGAAAGTATACACTGTATATGGCTAGACGACAGGGACATGACGCACTGATGTGTTGACTTCAGATAAGTAGCAAACAACTGGAACAAACAGCTACTGTTGCTGTTCTTAGAGACCTGCTGTACCAGAACTAGTCTGTCATGAGGAAAGGCACTTAAAATCGAGTGTGTGCAGTCTCTTACAAGCATGAATATGTTCAGGTGAATCTAAGAGTACAGGGTGTCCCAGACAAACTTGACATTTTAGGAATAAAGGGAATATGCACAGCTAATATTATGGACATCTGGTCCAGTGGTATCAAGATGTCTGCCTCACTGTGGACTGAAGAATAGAATGAGGTCTGCAATATAAGTAAGTCCATTAATCCACCCCAGAGGTTTTCAACTGATTGTGACGCAGAGGGACCATGCACTATTATTGAAAATGCTTCTTCTCCATCTTTAAAAATGAAATAGCATAATATCAGACAATGTTTTCTATGTGTGCCTATTTTTATGCTAACTATACAGATGTAAAATGTTCTGTTAGGAACAGTTTTGCATACAAACGCATCTTAAGGATGTAGATGTGTTTGCTATTCTGTAATGTAATGATGCAAATGCAGCTTCAACATGGTGGTGAATGCCTTTTGTGTTTAGATTCATATGCACATAAACACAAAACCTGTGCATTTTGGTTTTGCTGAGGAAAACAACCAGCAGACTGACAGCGACACCAGTTGGCCTCCTTGTGACCTGGTGCCAGGAGCAATCCAGTCACCTCACACCGCTGACTGGCTGCTGAATACCAATGACAGACTCCCTGCTCCAGCAGCCATCAAGACCCGTCAGCTGGGACGTGGAGAGAGGAGACGGCTGCTTATCTACAGCAGAAGGCAAATATCAGCCTCCATGCTTTTATCATTCATTGCAACTTCAGATAACTCTTTTTCATAAGTAATATGGCCGGGGTGAACTAATATTACTGTGGCTAATTGTTAAAAATGAAGTGTGCTGCTTTGCGTAACTCAGCTCAGTATGGTCAATTTACACCATTGCTTGAATGTAAAAGATCTTAAAGAGTAACTTAACGCTAAACGGCGGTGACATGTGCCTGGGGTTTAATGCATTTTAATGACTTTGGATTGTGGGTGCTAAAGTATAACAACACATCCATTTAGTAACATACGGGGCTTTCAACCACATCTCAGAGGCTTCATCAGCAAAGGGAGCTGGTTCAGGTGTCATCATGTGATAATACCAGTTGGGTTCCCCAGTGTTGCTGATTAACTGTCAGATATAATAGGTCACTGTATGGTTCCTGTGTTCCTTTTGCCATCTCTGTCTATATCCCAGTCATTTATTTGATTTTTGACATTGATCAGAGGGGATCTGTTCCTTTAGGGGACAGAGGAAAGTACAGCAGTAGTTAAGCAGGCATGCAGAAAGAACTGGGACTTCAGCCACTGCTCCATCTGTAGCCAGATATTTGGCAGTGATGGTCCACAATATAATGACGCTGTGGCAGACAGGGCTTCACCTGGCACCCTGTTCATATAAAGATGTGCATGTATAGACACATGTAGCAGCATGTCACACTCAAACATGTACAGGACAATTTGCTTTCTCATTATCAGTATTTTAAACATCGATTCACTTTTCTAAAACACTGGTCATAGTCAAAATCTGAACAGGGCAGCACAGGCAGTTCTCACCTCTCTTGGTGTTTTCAATGAAACCATATTTAGGAGGATTGACGAGCCAAACCAGGAGGTCCTTCCTCGGTGTGCCTATGTCCGACACTATGATATGATTGGTAGAGAGCTGCACACGGCCGCCTTCCTGGACCTAGACGTGGACGGTAAAGGTCAATAACAAACACCTGAAAAGTTCTCCTGCTAAAGTATGTGGTTACTAGGTTTTTCTCATATCATAAATTTCCATTCCTATTTTAACTCGATGGGTAAAGCATGTTTGAGAGTTTGATTGTCTGCAGGATGTGTCACTAACTTCTGAATGAACTGACAAGACATTTGGAGAACATATCAACACAGCAAGACCAGAAGCTGATCCTGATCTGTATTTGTTGTCTTTCAATCGTTTCTTTTTTCCCCATCATGTATTTACAATGTATACTACAGTTACAGGCTTTGTTCCTACAGGACCAATAAAGCCAGTAAATAAGTGAATGCACCATGAGGTTTGTACTCCTTATGATATTTTTTTTAACTCCCCAGAACAAAACAAACAATTTTCAGGTTTGACCACTGGGGACGTCCACCCCATGCTGCTGTTTGAGCCTGTTCTTACCTGTAAAAGAACATTTGTTTTTCCCATTTGTTCTGGCTACAACTGAGAAACACAGAGACTGCTGATATTTCATTTGGCATGTTTCAGGAGTGGAGCTGTGCACTGCTAATACAGCATCAATCCCCAAGGGAACCTCAACAGCGAGGACCAGTCAAAAGGCCGACCTAGGAAGCATCTAATGGATATTTGATAAATGAGCAGAAAAGGATGTGCCAGGATTCATGTGAGAGGACGAACAGTTCAGTCTTCACTGATGATGTGACAAACACACAGTCCATCTTAGTGCTTTTATAAAGGTGCACTGTCTTCCAGACACACTGAGGGGAAAAACATCTTGCAAAGATATTAGCTAACAGGGTTGCTCCAACATGTGGCAGTGTAGGATGGAGCCTTCTGCTTCATTTGTCTCGTTAATCACTGCTTCTGAGTACAACAGCTGCTGTAACAAACTCAATATCAGTCTCTTAAGAGCAGGCAGAGTAACAGAGGGGAAATAACTGCAGTTTGTGTATATAAGAGTGTTTATGTACCATACCACCCACAAAATGTTAATTTTTTAACACTTCTATAGGATAATATAGATAGTTTTGGAACTGGGCCCATGTGAGTGTAGGTTTTGCTGCTGGTGTGTGCTTCCCTACTGTTCTCAGAAAAGTACAAGTACAATGTAACACCATAGAGTATGTATTTGTCTTTGAATATGTAAACTGCATATGGTGTAAGTGTGACTACCTTGATGCCGCTACGGACGGTCACCACTGGCGGCTGTCTGGGCGTGGAGGTGATGGTCATGGTGCACATCTGGTTGTCAAGGCGATTGTTGTCTCCATCATAAACAACAAAGTGGAAGATGTCGGTCACCAGCTGACTGCCTGTGTCTAAGGAGGTGACATACCTGTTGGCGGAGATACTGATTAGAGTTCAGAATGTTGAATCTACTGCATGTCGTTTAAGAGCTATTTAGTTTGCTACCACAATTTTCTTTTAATGAATTCATCAATATTTGTCTTGCGCTGACAGAGGACTCAGCCCTCCCACAAAGCAGCTGCTAAACTCTGCAAAGCTCTAATAAAACTGAAAACGCACACCGATATAATCTTTTCTAATCCCATTTAATTCTCATAAAACAATTCCCACTTCTTGTTTGTACGAGCCGGTACCACAGAGACCAAACTAATTCCAGCGGTTTGAAGATCACCCCAGAGATTGTCTCGCGCTGAAGCTAATCAGGGCCTTCATTATAGAGACGAAGCAGTTAGCATGTGAATATTTATGTTTCATCACTGGGCGCCTCACTACCTGTTGCAGGTCATTTCAGTGATGCTAATTGCCATCGCTTGTGCTAACAGTCTGAGTCATTGAACACCATGAGGCAACAGCTACTGAACTGTTTCCTGCTGTGATGCTGAGGGGAAACGATCCCAATCAGATAGACAGATCATGACTTTAGTGTGAAGAACCCTCAAAACTCTTCTTACAGAGTGGAGGCAACAGCAGACTCTCCCTTTAAAACAGCCTCTCCACTAAAAGCTCACACATCCCATCAGTGCCTCAGCTAACTATGAACATGTTGCTTTTGTCCTGCAAAAATCCCTCGACTTTAATGGAACTTGTTTAATTCTACACTTTTCTATGGTTTTCACAGGACTGTGACACTTCTGAACCTCTTTTAAAACACACTGGATAAACTCAGCATGTCTACACAACAGATTTAACAACTTGTAGTTCCTAAAACAGTAATCATCATGAGGGAGCTGTTAACAGAACTCTTTCACTATTGTTTTTATTGAAGGTCTAAAGAGGTGCTAATTCGCCCTAGTCCCTCACATGGACCCTTATGAACTTTTACTGCTTATATAATGACAGCGTCTGCAAACAGCTAAGGGTTTTTGAAAGTCATTTTTCGTTAATAGCTGCAGGTTTCATGCTGACATCCTGCTTTTATAAGCCTCTGAAGTAGCATTTAAACTATCAGGGGAAACTAAAACCCTGCACTGGAACCAATGATATTCCTTTGGGCAATTCGTATTCCACATTTTAGAGACACTTGCCTTTGAAACTGAGGAGAATACTTCACAAATCACAGTGGAATGACTTTTTGTTTGGCTATTTGAAGCACAAAAAAGGAAAATAACGCCTCAAGACATGATTGTGGATCTCCAAGAAAAGCCCAAATCACCATGGACAACTATGATGAGCTCATCATAAAGGTTTCCTGTTTTAATTTCAGGTCCATAGCGTCTTGAACCTCTAACTTTCAAAGCACATGCAGGACCCACCTGATCCTGTGCTTGTTGATGTCTTCCATGGTGAAGGAGGAGTACTCCCTCAGCTCCTGGTGCTCCTGCTGGGACTGGCTCCTGGTCAGGATTCCGTACATGGGCACAGACACCAACTGGATCCGAATATGCTCATCTGGGGATGTTTTATCCTGTGAGAGAAAAAACAGAGTGAATCATTCCACCACTGTGATATTTGCAAATATACTGCAGTGACAGCCAGAATACCGACAGACAAACTGGTCACAACCCTGCAGTTAAACCTGAAACACAAGCATCAGGTGTTCAAAACTAAATGAAAAGACAAATATAGCTCACTACCAAATGTATTTTCTCATTGCAAACTAATTAATGTAATATTCATTTGCAGATGCTAAAGACAGATATGATGTACTCCTGTGGTACAGGATGTACAGCTTTTCAAAAATATCCAAACTAGAAAATATGTATGTAATTCTTTGAATCTCTAAATGTGCATAATGAAGGATGCCTTCAGAAATATACTGTATTTACAGTATTATACATGATAAAATAAGCTACTGCTGACTGTGCAAAGAAAAATCCCAGCGTCCCTCCTCACTCACAGTGTAAGCCAGGTGCGAGCGTCTGATCACGGTGCTGCTTTTCTCGCCCACTTCCAGCGACAGTGTAGCTGTCGGGTCTCGCCGCGGCCCATCGTCCCTGTCGCCCAACACCACTACCTGCACCACTGTGGTTGCCATGGAGATTCCATCACTAACGGTGAAGGTGATGGCATCGTCCTGGGTGGAGAGGCCAGCGTGTCGGTAGAGCAGAACGTTACGGGTGATGTCACTGAAGGTGAAGATGTCACCTGGAGACACAGAGAAGGTGTGAATGATGCTGCACGTGTGTGTGTGTGTGTGTGTGTGTGTGTGTGTGGTTGCCCTTTGAGTCACTGTATTTTTCTATAAACTGTTTATTACTAAACAAGCTAAGCTTTGCAGTAGATTTGTATGTGCAGAAAGACATCTACTGCTCGTCTTCAGTTCGTATTGGCTCCAGTAAAAAAAAATCCATTGAACTTAATGCGGAAGCTAAATATATCCCCTCAGGCTACTTCCCAGTGTGCACCACCAAAAATCCCCCGGCCCCATATGAAAGCACATCACAATGGCGGACACTGATCTGGTATGTCTAGTTTTACAGGGTGGATGCAGGTGGTCAATTCTGATACTGTCAGTGAATTTTGTCTGATGGCCTGTTGGACTGTTGTAAAAATAAGTACTATATTAACATAACTAAGACAAATGACACACAAGATCTATAACAAATGATAAAATGAAATTATGTTTTACTTTGAATAAGTACTATGTTAACTTAATACTAATTAATGCTAAAATGTACCAATGTCGTTACACTGAAATGTATGTGCCATCTCACCGTTGGCCATGCTGATGTGTCCGCCGCCCTCAGTCCTGACCAGCTCTCCGTGCAGCGGAGCTTCCACCAGCTCAAACTCCAGCTCATCTGGAGCAGTGTCAGCGTCGCTCACGGCCAGCTGCTGACCACCTACACACACATGAAAAGAGAGGCATAACGTGTACACTTGCATACACACAGCTCTTTCCTCAGAGCCCTTCATCACACACAGGACCTCTTGGCCACCGGCTCTATCCTTAACAACAGCGCTGTATATTTGAACGTCTGTGTGTGTGTATTCTTCTCTTACCTATGGTGGCCTGTCCTCCCAGACTGACCTCCAGCAGCGGGTCCAGAACCTGAAACACCGGCGGCTGCTGGTGGTTGGACACCAGCACAATGGAAAAGTCCAACTCTGGAGTCGTGTGTTCGCCATCTGACACTGAGAGACACAAACACACACACATAAATGAAGAGAGACACAGATGCACACACATAAAAACAAGGACACCCATAAAACATGAACATTCACAGGAGCAATCATTTAAAAAATGTCCATGAATCAAGACCCAGAATCAATTAACCTCAACAATTTATCAGGAATTCAGGAGGGAACCTTTTACACTAATTAAATTTTTCAAGAAGATAATCGGCTTCGTTGGCTTCTTCTTCACTTCTGACCAAAACAAACCAACGAACAGTTCAATCATCACATTGGGATATAAAAAGATAGTGACATCAATTAAGAATACCAAAGTGAGAAATTATTTATATCACATTAAACTTTAACTTTACATTAAAATTAGCTCATATTTCAAACTGTCTGCATTTAAAGGAGGAGAGTACTTTTACTTACTGTTAAGTACTTTCTGGGATTAATATGCAAAACTGTTTGTATACTGCACAGCAGAACATGACTTTTCCCTGAAATGCTAAAGGTTATGAGATACATGATGCTTGTGCACGGTGCAGGCTGTTCATATTCTGTGTGGTCAAAACTCCAGCATTAGTCTGCTTGTGTTGCTGGAGTTTGGTTTCCCTTCCCGGTGCAGTTTAGCAGCAGGGGAATGTGTAGAAGTGACTGGATCACACACATGCTGCTGCTCTGCACAGCCATGAGCTGTCAGCCTGTAGACATATTATAAACCTGTGCAGTATGTTTGTGTAGTTTGTTGTTTAATATCTATTATGTGTAACAGCTGCTGTACAGCAGGTCTGTGTACGTTCTGCAAATTTGACAGATATTTTCTTTGTATGCATGAACACACTTGGGCAATAAACTTGAATCTGACTAAATAAATTTTCAAAACTTAAACTACTTGTTGTTGTTAATTGTCCAGGTGATGCTTTTACATGTAACCAGCCAGGAGCCCCACCAATACGGTGATGATTAGAGTTTTTATACAAATCATGCTGCGGCTTGTCTTTTAACAGGTACCAGGAAATCTGACCATATAACCCCGGTACTGGCCTCTCTCCAGTCCATTTTAGAATTAATTTTAGCTATTGATTTTTGTTTTTAAGGCTCTTAATGGTTTGGCACCACTTTACCTCACTGAGTTGGTGAGGTGGCACGAACCTCCAAGATTGCTCAGATCATCAAGCCAGTTTCTTTTAGAGGTTCCCATGACCAGATACAAACGCTAGGGTGACCGTGCTTTTACTGTTGCAGCTCCTAAATTGTGGAATGGTTTACCTTTTAATGTTAGATCATCTACAGACTTGACAACTTTTAAATCATTGGTTAAAACATATTTATTCACTTTGGCTTTTAATACATAGTGCTGTCTAATGCTTCTTGAACTGCTGATTATGTGTAGTTCGTGTGTTTACGTTCCAATGTTTTATTCCTCTATTGATATTATTTATTTCAGTTCTTACCTCACCCTTGTAAAGTACTTTGGTCAACCAGACATCGTTTTTAAAGTGCTATATAAATAAATTTTGATTTGTTTTGAAATCTTGATCTGTGCAGCAACCGGTACTGCCAGCCATCAATGCTGGCCTAAGGAGTTTTGTAATTCCGCCTAAGGTCTTAGTTTTTTCAAATAGTCAATTAATGAATTGAAAAATTTCCATTAGTTTCCCAAGGTTAAGTCTCTAAACTGCTTGTTTTGTCTGCCCAACACTCCAAAAGATATTGACTTCTGAATCATAAAAACCTGCAGTGAAGAAGCTGGAACCAGAGACTGTTTGGCTGTTTTTGCTTGAAGAACTTAAATAATTCATTTATCATTAAAGTTGTGCTTGAACAACTAATCGGTACAAGATTTTCATCTGAAATGTAAAAGATCAGCAGTATGGACATGAACAAAACCACTGATATTCAAGTACAACTGCCCAGTACTTTGGTAAAAATGTTTTCTCCTGTGTCTCTCTACTGGCCACCAAAACAAGTCATTGTTTACGTCAAGTCCTAAAGTTGGAATTGAAGCAGGAGGGTGGAGGATAGAAGAATCAGCAGATAACTGCCTGGGGCTGGGTGAAAAGCACTTCAGTGATGCTTCTGAACACCTGTAAACACTCATCCCCCAAACAGCTCCTGTTGGTGATGGAAGGCAGCAGCTCTTCATCAAAGCTTCAGTAAATAGAGGAGATTTGGTTTAATCTGCAGGGTAAAGGTCAAAGAGGCAGGACAGAGGATCACGGAAGACCTGAAGAGCTGGTCGATCCAAATCAGTGGGGGAAGTGATAAAAGTAACAAAATAAGAAGTGTAGGAGTGAGGAAGAGGAAGCAAGGAGAATAAAAGAAGATAAACTGGGAGGGAAGAAAGAAGAGGTGAGGAGAGGAAAAATCCAAGAGGAGAAAAGAGAAGATTAAAGAGAGGGAAAGGAAAGAGGAAAGGAAAGAGGAAAGGACAAGAATGAGGACGGGAAAGGAGAAACTAAGCGCAGAGAGAGGCACAACAACCAAAGCGGGAGAGAAATAAACCTGCCACAACAAGCAAGATGAAAACATGATGGAGATAAAAGGGAAGGGGAAAGGCGAAAACAAGGGATGATGGCAGAGACAGGAAGATGTGGAGGGGAGACTAAAGGAGGGAGAAGAGGACAGAGAGGGAGAAAGAGAGGAAAAGAAGAGGAACATGTTAAGAAGTGACTCAGGGTGAAGAAGAGAGGAGATGAGGGTGACTGATGAAAAGAAGGAAGAGGAGACATCCATGGTAGAGGTAAGACAGGAATAGAAGACTGAGGATGGAGAGAAGGCCGTGTAGAAAAGGAGAGGAGAGAAGAGCTGGCAGAAAATCTAGTGGAAAGAGGAAAGAAGGACACAGGAGACAGAGGAAACCAACTGCCTCTTACTGCTCCTCTGAAAACTAAGGGAAGTATTTACCTGAGAAATAAAGGCTCAGCGACTCCGGAAGACCTGGGTAAAAAACAAAGGATGGCAGTTACAGCTGTGAAGGGATAAAAGTAAATAACACTGGTTTCAGGCAGAGCTGATGAAAAAAACCACTAGATGAATGTATAGTGCCTAAAACCCAGGAGGCAATGAGAGTGATTTACTGATGCAAAGCTTCCAGTGGAGCTGCACAAACCCAGATTAAGAGAAGCTAAAGTCATTTGTGACTTTGGATTAGAAATCATCTTTAGAATGTATCACCCTTAAAAACTAAGACAGATCTCCTTCCAAAACATCTCTAATGAAAGTACATTAGAAGACCTGTGATTTATACAGGAGCTGAAAGTCAGTGTGTGTATCGCATTAATCCCACTGTAATCGTAAACACACCTATGTTAGGTTAGGACGTGTGTGTATCTCACCGATGAAGGAGTACTGGTAGAGCTCCTGGAGGTGTGACGGGGCCGGAGGCGGTCTGTAGATGATCTTGCCGTTGTTGACGTCAGCCTGAGTGAAGAGCTTCACCGGTGTGTACGGTTTGTCCTGATGTTCAATCGCCCCTGAAAACAACGAGCGCAGGACGGGGCTCAGTTTGTTGTTGGAATTTATCCTGCTTCAGTCTTATACTGGAAAATAAGATTTACACGTATTTTGTCAGAGGCGCAAGCAGATCTGGAAGCAGA